AATTGATAACTTTTTCTCGTACTTATTTTATGTATTGACAATATAAAACTTAAAACATGTTTATTGTTTTGAGTTTGCTCCCATTTGGATTTCTTTCCTGTTGTACTTAATTTTATAGTGTTTGTCGGAATAAAAAAATAAAATAAAATAATTGATTGGAAAGAAAAGAATTATTGTAATAGTTTATGAAAAATATTGAATCTACCTAACCCTTGCATTGGATTTCAAGCATGAAAAGTCATTAGCAGCCATCTCCTATTGAATATGTTGACTAGACACGTGTCAATATACTTTTCAAAGGACCAAAAACTCCCGCTTACCAACCCTTTCTTTTCTTCTTCTTTTATCTTTACAAAATGCAAGAAATTCCAAGAAGTTATATAATGTAATACCCATTTATGACATTGAGCCTTTGTGACTTTTGTTATTAGCTTGTTTTGTATCTTGCAAGTTTATTTCATATTATTAGGGATATAAACATAGAAAACTAACCAAGATTTATGTAATTATTGCATGAATAGTCTTCTTTTCTATGGGGATACATTTTTTCATCAGTTATTGGAGGAGCATTAGTGGACAAATATGGAGGAAAACGGGTGTTAGCTTGGGGTGTTGCCTTTTGGTCTTTAGCAACACTTTTGACTCCATGGGCTGCAAATCATTCCACAATTGCCCTTTTAGCCATGCGTGCTTTCTTTGGTCTAGCAGAAGGAGTCGCTCTTCCTTCAATGACAATTCTTTTATCAAGGTAAATAAACTATATTCTCTATTGAATGAACAAAAACTGTTACTTTTTAACAAGTAATTAGAAATTACTAATTACAATTACTGTTTCTTAGGTGGTTTCCATGTAATGAAAGAGCGACAGCTGTTGGTTTATCAATGGGTGGATTTCACCTTGGGAATGTTGTGGGATTAGTGTTGACACCTATCGTCATGTCTTCAATTGGGCTTTCTGGCCCTTTTATTCTTTTTTCAAGTCTAGGGCTTTTATGGCTAACAACATGGACACTTCGGGTCACAAACGATCCACAAGAAAGTCCTTCAATAAGCAAGTCGGAATTGAGGTTAATTCAAGCCGGAAAGTCTGATTCCATTCCTCTGAAGAAGGGTGAATTCCCTCCTCTTCGATTATTGTTGTCCAAAATGCCCACTTGGGCTATCATTTTCGCTAATGTAACTAACAATTGGGTAAGTTTTTGCTTTTTGTTTTTTGATTCGTATATGTTTCAAGTGTTTATAATGATGTAATTTTTTTATGTTTGTAGGGATACTTCGTTCTACTCTCATGGATGCCTGTCTACTTTAAAACTGTAAGTGCTTTTAAGTAACGATTTTCACAATACTCATCGATCTTAACGATATCCATCGATTGAGTCAAAGAGCTCGATTGTTGATTTATGAAATCTTTTTGTTTTTTTGTGGTGAAAAGGTATTTAATGTGAACTTAAAGCAAGCAGCTTGGTTTAGTGCTGTGCCATGGGGAACAATGGCATTTTCAGGGTATGTTGCAGGAGCTGCTTCTGATTATTTAATCAAACAAGGATACTCTTTGACTTTTGTCCGAAAAGTCATGCAGGTAAATCTTCTTTTTTCTTTTGTCTTGTCTGTGTAAAAAGACATATATACCCTCATCACAAATTGAAAAAGACGTAAATACCCTCTTCCTCTTGATGTCTTGCAGTCGATTGGTTTCATTGGGCCAGGATTTGCTCTACTGTGTTTGAATTATGCAAAGACACCAGTGATTGCTTCTGTGTTCATCACTGTAGCACTCAGCTTGAGTTCTTTCAGTCAAGCTGGATTCCTGTTAAATATGCAAGTAAGATTAATCTCTTTTCTTTTTAAATGCAAAAAAAATCAACAAACTTTGGTCACTAAATTGTTTCCTCTTTTTCCGATCTTTTTCTAGGATATTGCACCTCAATATGCGGGATTTCTCCATGGTATGTGTTTTCAACATCTTTAAATCGTTCATCATTTTATAATTGGAGATTATTATTATTATTATTTTTTAACATTTGTTTATAAATAATTAGGGATTTCAAATTCAGCTGGGACATTGGCTGCAATAGTTAGCACAATTGGAACAGGTTACTTTGTTGAATGGCTAGGATCATTTCAAGCGTTTTTAACTGTTACAGCTTGTTTTATATTTTGTTACAGCCATTTTTTGGAACCTATTTGCTACTGGTGAAAGAGTCTTTTAGGTTTTTATCACAAAAAAAAAAAAGTATTTTATTGGTAGGGAGATCAAGTTTAGTGGGATTCTTTTGTGATAAAATGAAGGGTGGAATGTTTTATGATATATATAAGTTGTAGGTTGAAAGGAAGAAAAGAAAAGAATATTTGTTTAATCTTTGTGCAAATTGTAAAAGTTATAGAGGAAAACAATTGGAAAGATATTTGTTCGGTCTTTGTATTATTTTGTAAAATAATTGACTTTTTTAAAATTGAAAAGTTACTTTCAAGCCTGGTATTTATTATTATTATTATTATTATTATTATTATTATTATTATTATTATTAGTAGTAGTAGTAGTAGTAGTAGTATGTTATACTTCTACACGTTTTGTTATTGTCGTTGTCTTGATTGTAAGCTTTGAAAATTATAGAAACCCAAAACAAACAATGAAACAACAAAACGTCAAATCAAATCAAACCGAACTTGTTGGTTTAGTTTTATTGACAAAGGGATTAGGTTTATAGAAAGGTAATGTTTGGTTTAAGTAATGATCACATTGAATTTGATCAATAATGAACTATTTTAGTTGTCTCAAAAACACCAATTTACACATCAAACATTACTTTAGATAACCAACCATGAAAATCGTCTCAAATCGGCCTATGTGATATATGGCACAAGATACTAATATTTTTTTTTCACAATACTTAAAAAATTAAGTTTTTGCGTGTTCTTTTCAACCTTACATCCATCCAAATAAATATGTAAAAAAAGTTAGAAAATGAAAAAAAAAATCTAAAAAAAAACATGCATAAATGAATATGTAAGAAGATATTGGGTTGGAATCAAATTGAAGCCAGAGAGGAGAATGAAATAAATACTAAATGGTTGTGCTCTACAAATTAACTGAAAAATTAGCTTTTGAGTGATAAGCTAAGCAGATAGTGATAAAATAATAGTTTTTGTAAAACTAGTTGATAAATATAAATTGATATAAATTGACATTTAGATGTACGGGGAAATAAACATATAGTGATATATTTGGAAAACTTATAGAAAAAATATGTAACTTATTAATAAGCTATCTCTATTTAATATCAATTAGTTATCACCTTTTTAATAAGCTATAGTTTATAAGATCATTTAGTGGTCTTACAAAATAGCCAAACACTACAAAAAAAAAAAACAACCTAACTTATAAATGTCAGATCCTTGAATTGAATTTGATTGTGGTTTAGAATCGGCCCATAAACAGATACTCATGTTTGTTTCAATTAGAAAGAAAAAAAAAACAAAAAAACAAAAGGTAAAATAGTGCCATTTTAGCTTTGGAAGTTGAAAAAAAAAAGGTTTGGTTCCAAAGTCCAAATTCAAAACGGATAAAACTGAACTGATTTCAAAAATATTTCCAAAGTGTGAACCAAAAATATAGGATGCTGAGAAATATACGTAAAAGAAAACATTTCAATTGGGTAGAACAACATAAAACTTACTCAAAAGTGTATACAATTTCTTAAACTGCTTATTTCAAACAAATTAATGAATACTTTAATAACAATTGTTGTACTAACACTATAGATCTAAGTTTTTGTGTTTTAGGAAAATGAAATTTTGTCCGGAACAAGGTTTTGAAAACCGAACCGAACCAGCCGTCTTATCGGTTCGATGGTTCAATTGGTCCAACCGGTTGGACCGGTCTCAAAAACCGGATGATGTCATAATTATATCGTTATTAATTTTAATTATATACAAATTACAAAAAAATGGAAAAAAAATAAACATTTTTTTTTAATTCCTAGTTTTTACCGGTTCAACCAGACCGGTTTTTACCGGTTCGATCGTTTTCACCGGTTCACATAACGAGCAAATTTTTTGGCCTATAAAAACCAATTTCGGGACCGGTTCCCGGTTGAACTGCCGGTCCGATCCGATTTTCAAAACATGGATCCGGAGTAAGTCAATCCGGACTATCTTAATGTCAAATCAAAGTTTTTTTTTATTGGATTTGATTTGATCTCGAACCTCCCTTGTTTTCATCTCCTATTTCCTAGTTAGACATTTTTATCCTTTTATTGTTTTGTGTATAAAAGGTTTTAAGATCTTTGAATAAAAATTTGAACGCATTGAATTTATGATGGTATCAGAGAATGATACCTAGTTGCTCTACGAAACCCTAAAACTCCATCGCCATGGCAGGTGACGATAGCAACTCTTCCAAACAATAACACGCCAGATCATGATTCCCCTTAGTATCTTCACCCATCCGATTATCCAAGACAGGACAAAGGTAAAAGTCAACAAGGCTTTATCTGATAAGAACTATGCGGATTGGGTCCAAGAGATGTAGAACTTCTTATTCGCCAAGAACAGATGTGGATTAAATGTTGTGCAAGTTGTTCATGGGAAGAACTTGGGGGGACTGTACACACGAATCGAAGATATTCATTTCCATGATTTTATTTGACTCCGATAATGTATTGTCTTACTAATTTTGTTTATTTATTAAGTCATAAAATTTAAACTCTTTTAATAAAAAATCCATTGTGTTCCACTTCGACATTTGATTTCAAATCTGGAGAATATAACCCGCACTAAAACTTAGATGCTTTAATATGTTTTTGGAATGGTTTACATTATCTTTAAATTGAGCAAAAAACTGAATATTTACAAAATTTTGGATTCTTGGTTGTTGATTTAGGTACTATTTGTATGTTTGTTTGAGACATTGTATAGAAGGATAAATTTGTCCTTTTGATAAAATAGGAAGGATGGTAATTTAGATAAAATTCCGTTAAACATGAATTTCAACAGAAAAAGAGAGCAAATTATTGGCGTTCCCCAAGTGATCAACAAAATTTACATGACATGCTAGTTTTGTCTGTCAATGACATAAAAACACTAAACCATGAAATTAATTTATATAAAAAAAATTCCAAATAAAAAGTCTGACGAAATAAAAACTAAACCAAATATCAAAGCTTTCAAAGCACCCAAGGTAGCTAGGTAGGTCTGTCTTTACCCCCCAAATATAACCTCTCTTTAACCCCACTCCCAAATGCAAATGGTATGCTTCAAATAACCTCCCACATTCATTAATCCACCTTCAAGAATTCATTCATTGCACTTTCAACACATTTTTATCAACTGTGAATATAAACAACATCACTTACTTTTCCAATTCCTGAAAGAGTAGTAGTACATTACATTTCTGGTCCCTGAGTTTATCTGTTTTTTGAAATTTTGGTAACAAAATATTTTATTTTGCAATTTTAGGTCCATATGTGTTCTTATAACTTTTTTGGTCCTTGTTCCAAGTATGAAAAAATCAGTTATAATGAGGGACCAAAAATGTAATTCAGTCCAGAAAGCGAAAACTTACATTAAACATAGCTGGGTTCCTTGATCAAACTTCCATCGGATCCACCAGAAAGTTCCTTAAGCTCAGCCTGCAATCGTTCATATTTCTCTTTAACAGCAGCAGCAGTCATGACATCAGCAACCTCCTCTTTCAGTTGAATTTCCAAATCCTTAATCTTATCCTTCGATTCCTTGCTAGGTTTTTTTTTGTCTTTCATCACCTCGAATTTCAACAGCTCAATTTTCCTTTTCAATTCCGGGGTATTCTCAATAACATCTTGAATTATCTGATTAATTTCCGCATTCAGTTCATCAACTTTCGCCTTCACCATCTCCATAGAAGTTTGACCCATCCGTGAAGCCACATGAACACCCGAAGCTTCTAGAGCATTCAAAAATTCCGTTTCCACTTCTGCCCTTACCTCCATCATCTTCTCCTTCAGATCCTCATCCAGACCTTCGCCTCCCAATTTCTCGATCTCCGCTTTCAGTCCCTCGATTTTGTTTTTCAGAATCGGATTTTCCAAAACTTGTTTGAACTTCTCGTTCACTTTAGTCTTCAACGGAAGGGTTTTTTTGTAATTTTCCGCAAATGTTTTCGCTTCTTTGATTTCGTTCAACAAGTTTAGTTTGTATTTCAGCTTATCGTAATTAGGAGCTGTTGATAACTTCTCGTTGAATTCGTTCTTTAGATTCTCGAGATTCTCGATTTGATCAGAAGTCAAATCTTTTTCTGTATCGAAATTGTCACGCATTTGACTTATTTTGTCCTCGATTCCTAAAGCTTTTGCAGCTTCAGAAAATTCATAATCAATTTCTCTTTCGAGCTTTTTGATGAGGCCATTTTGGTCCATATCGGGAGCTATTGAAGATGATTCTTTTGCTTTCATGATTTGCTCTTTTAGCCTATTGACTTCACTCTGCAAGGCTTGATTGGAAATAAGTCCGGGTTTTGGTTCTTCCTTTTGTTTCATGTTGACTTTCTTTTCTGGGTCAACGGGTAGACCTTCTTGGAATCCACCAATCTTGCGAAATTTGAGCATTCGATGTTTTAATAGCTGTGGAGTATCCATCTTTTGAAGTTCCTATTTATAATAATAAACAAAAACACACATTAATCGTGTACTAATTTCTTAATATAAATCAAAGCATAAATGGGCTTAATGTTACTCACATCCATTGATTCAAGAATGACTTTTTTAATTTGCTGAGAGGTCCACTGTGGATCAGCATGAGCACCACCAAGTGGTTCCTGCAATTAAAATTATAAAATTTACCCTCAATTAAATATAAATTTAAAAATATTATTTTTTATTACAATTAATTATTCTTACAGGGATGATGCCATCAGCAATTTGTAGCTTAGTAAGCTCAGTAGCAGTGATCTTGAGCTTCTCAGCTGCCTATACACAAGAAGAAATTATATAAACTTTCAAGAATTCTATAATATTAGTGTACAATTACAAATAAATAAAAAATAAAACTTTTCACTACCTTTGGAGCAGCTTTGGCAGTCTTCCATAGAATTGCTGCACATGCTTCAGGGCTATAGCATAAGAATTATAAGTTATTTCAGTAATTAGTAAGTGCAATTAAAATTATAAAGTTTCTTATTTCAAAAGAGTGCAATTTGATTCATTTAATTTGAAGGTTAGATATAGTTGTAACTTTTAGAATATTGTTTAAATGACCATTTTACCCTTCTATTTGAAATTAGTGGTGAGTGGTGATAAAAAAAAAAAAAAAAAAAAAAAAGTTAACATCCATCAACCCATTGCACATTAATTAAAAAAGAAACAACACCTAACAGTTAGTTCATTTATATCACCCTCAATATTTGAGTTGTAGGTTTTTGACATTTTGTGTAAAAAAGTGGGATCAATCAGACTTTTTGGGAATTAAAAGTCTCCAAGAGCCAGCTATTTATAAATTGAAAATGGTGTAATGAATTCATATAACCCTCATTATGTACAAAAAAAAAAAGATAAAATATAGTCACCTGGCAACATAGAAGACAGCATTTTCAAGCATTAGCAGTTTATTAGCACAACCAATGGCCAAAGCACCTCCAGATCCACCTTCACCTATCACAATGGATATGATTGGTACCTCTAAACCAAACATAGTCCTTAAATTATGAGCAATGGCTTCACCCTGCATACACATAAATGATGGTTTTATTAATAGATTAGGCCAAGTTTTTTGACTTACCACATTCAGACATTCATAATGCATTAAGTCAAAAGGAAACACCCCTATATATTGTATCCATTAAGTCCATTAAATCAAAAAGAAGCAACACCTAATACCTATGTCCTCTCATTAAGTCCATTAAGTAAAAAAAACAAAAAAATAAATGCACATATGTTTATACATACCTGACCTAACTCCTCTGATTTAAGGTCAGCAAATGCCCCTGGAGTGTCAATAAAAGTGACAATAGGGAAACCATGGTGATGTGCATAGTACATCATTCGTAGAGCCTTTCGGTATCTGTAAAAAACATAAATTTATATAGCAAAATGATTTTAAAAAGGGTAAATAAAAAGTACCATATATCATAATTGATAAATCCATAACATACAAGAAATTACTTACCCATGTGGTGTAGGCATTCCAAAGTTACGTTGAATATTTTCTTTGGTATTTCTACCCTTTTGATGACCAATAAACATGAATCGCCTTCTTTCTATTGTTCCAATTCCAGTTACTATTGCAGGATCATCATAACCACCTCTATCACCATGAAGCTCAACAAACTGTACATTTTGGAATAAAAAAGGGTATATCCGGTATTTCATAATTCATATCATATTCTTTCAATTTAGAAATGTTCTAATCTAAGAAAGCATAGAGTAACAGTAACACACCTTTTCAGTAATGTTGAAGACATGATCAAGAAAAGTTGGCCTGTTAGGGTGTCGTGCAATATTAACACGCTGTATTGGAGTCAAGTGTGTATAGAGATCTTTAAGAGCCTGTAGATAATAAAATAATAAAATAATAAAAGTCAGCAGACATGACAATTGTGATCTATATTTATACAAAAGGGTTGTTTTTTCCAGTTACAAGTAACTGAACCTGTTGATATTTATTCTCTAAAGAGATGATTTGATCACTGAAGTCCAAACCAGTTTCATTAGCCATCTTTTGCACCTGAAAACAACAAAAATGAAAGTTTAAGACATGTTCCAATTGCACCCTACAGAACAATCATATCACAGAAGTTTAGGAGGATTTACATCAATGATTTTCTTCTGTAGATCCATAAGAGGTTTCTCAAATTCCAAGGTGACAGGTTTTGGCTTTTCCTTTAATGGCTTGAATGGGGATAGATGACTAAGAACTCCACCCTTCACGTTGGGATCAGGATCTTGAGGCCATGGGTAATCGTGTTTCTTCACCTTCCTTACCTTTGCAGTGATACTTAAACCTTTCCTCCCAGTGTTTACATGCCCTTTGCCTAATGTTCGTAGGGGTATGCCATTGATGCCGTTACTTGAGCTTCGAAGAAGATCTGAAGCTGATGTTCCAGAAGACAAGCTTCCAGAAAAGGTAACAGGAGACGGAGGTACAGAAGCCATATCTGTACCCAAAAGTATAGCACTTCAAACTCCAACAAATAGCAAAAGAAATGATATAAAAAGGGGAAAATATAGATCAATCTGAAACCAGGTTCTGATATATAAATATTGGGAAAAGTCAGCATTTTAGTTGAACTCCCACCAAATCCCAATTTCTTTTCCATAAATCCATCAATCGTAGACTTATTCATTAAGAAATTAAAGTAGTTTAATAAACAAGTAACGAAAGCACGATGTTTGTATTTATCTAATCTCGTTGCATGCTATATTGATTTTCTAACAAATCAAGCAACATAAACGTAAGCATTCCAGTGCCAAATCAGTCTAAACGCGACTTGATTCCAAGAAAAGTAGAAAATCAACAACTATAATCACCAAAAACCACTCCATTAACCTACTTCCGGCGATCCTCGAAGATGATTAAAGTAGAAAGACATCCGTTTAAACTAACAATATTATGACAGAATCAATAAAAATTCAATCAAGCATTCATCAATTAAGAGTTTGATAATGCATCAAAAGAAAAGAAGCTGAAGGAATCAAATCAAGTAAATTGAAAATATTACCTGCGATTTTCGATCGCTAAGAGTAAAAAGATCTGAAATTGAGCACTTGGAGAGAAGGGATTTTGAGCTGGAAGCGAAGAGAAACAGAGAAAGAGGAGATTTATTACGAAGTGAGGAGAGAGAGGGGTAGCATCGAGAAGATCGTCAGTGGTTTTTGGGTGTTTATGTGAACTTCAATTCTTCGATACTTCTTATGCATTTGGAGGCGGAGGGATTTGAGCCAGCTATGATCTGTTTGGCTTTGGCAGTTGAAAGTGGGTGAGCCAGTGAGCCATGGGCTAGACCAGGGTTGGACCTGATTTCACACGAGTGAGGAAATGTTACACGTGTGTGGTAGCGATGTCTTCGATGATGGCTCCCATTGGGGTCTACTACATGAGATTTGTAATGAATCTGTATATGCATTGTTTGTTTATACTTCACACTTGTCAAATATGCAATCGGATAAAACAATTTTGATTTCTTTTTCTTTGTTGATTGCTCGGAATATTTTAGTATTTTTTTAAATTAATTTTTTTTATTAATAAAATTAGTTATCATCGTACAACGAATGAAAAGACAAACGGACAACAAGTTGCGCCGCTAAGCCTTTTTGTAAGTCTATTCTTTTTGAAGAAAGAAGCTTCATCGCATCCGACGCAAGAAAACCAAACGTATCAAATGCAAATGGTATGAACACGTGTTAATTACAATTAGTGCTTAAGTTATATTCTTTGTAATTAATAAAAACAAAAATTATAAAAAAAATAATAATATAATGGATCAAAAATATAGTAAGAGATTAAAATTATAACTTATTAAATATCAATAATTTAACTTATAATTTTTAAAATTATAAGGGATGAAAACTATTAAATCAAATTTTTTTTAGAAGAAAGGTTTAATATGAAAATTTGTTATTACCAAAAGTTAAATTTTATTTCCATAAAAAAATTATAATGTGACGTGGATTTAGTTATTTTTAGACTAATAATAATAAAAATAAATCAATAGTGATTTCCTCACAGATCATTTTTCATAATTATATAATTTTAAATGCTTTTAGATTATCATAAATAAAGATCATTCGTTTTTTAAAGATCTATATATTCTAAAAATCAATAATCCATTAAATGCTAAATAGATTATTATTATTTTTTAGATTAAATTATATATTGGTCCTTGTGGTTACATCCATCTCTAGTTTTAGTCCAATTTTTCAATTTTTGACATGGATTGGTTTTCAAAAATTGTACATGTGGTTCATGAGGTTGTTAACATCTAAGATGCTTCGTTCATGACTATTATCCACTTAATTTTGTTTTTATGTTATTTTAGAACTTGTTTTAAGCCCAGGTGCCATTTTTATAAAAATAAAAATAAAAATATAATAAAAGCGGTAGAAAAACAACCATGATCACACCTTTAACGGTTCATCATCAATACCATACAGTGGCGGCCCTGGGATGTGCGGACGCTCTCAGGGCCTTCGATTTTTGGGACAAATCTATATTTATGGTGTTGATATTTTTTCAAAAAATATTTGTGTGTTATCATTAAAGAAATTAGTTATATATGTCGGTTTCTTATATACATAATGTAATATTTGTAGCAATCTTGAAGTCACTGTAATTACGAAAAAAGATCAAAAAAGTCCAAAAAATCAAAATCTAATAATAAATTTTAAAATTTATCACTAATTTAAGAAAAGTGTCTATATCCAAAGAAAAAATCAAATTTGTTTCTAATATAAATTCTAGAAAATGATTTCATATTTTATAAAATACATTTTACCCAAAAATAATTAATATAAAAATTCAAAATCTAATCATAAATTCTAAAATACACTTTGCCCAAACAAAGTCTCATTTTAAAATCTTTGTCAACTACAATGTGGAAAAGTATGATTGAAATTGTGAAATCAATAGCGACTCAAACTCTTGAAATAATATAAGCTTTGTACAAACTTGTTCATGAAAGAGACTTATATAAAGTCAAAAGTGAAGCTACTTGCCTAGTAGAGTATGAACTTGACATATTACACTTTATAACTAGTATGGTTATATGATATCATATATTAACTAAAGTAAATACCATAAGAAAACAACTTCAATTTGACATCCCTTATTCTCCAAAAAAAAAAAAAAAAAAACTTTTTCTTTACGCTTTGAAAAACCATAACATCTTTGTTTGCGGAAAATCCCTGTATAATAAAACATTTTGCGGAAACTATTTCACTTTATTAAAAATATCTTTGAATAAAGATGTTTCAAAATACAAAACTCTAAGGATGTCATAATCAATACACAACATAGTTACAGCATAAAGACCTACGGTCCTGAACACTATTGCAAATCTTCTCTTTAATCACTCAACATCATATTCAAATCTCCAATAGTCTTAACACTGCAACCTGTAATGCATGTAAATAGAGTGGGTCACGTTGGGAAACCTGATGAGACACATAAGGTTTTCAATCCCACAATATTATTATGATAATAATTTATAATTATCAAACTTGCAAAACCAATTGCTACCAAACAATATCATATAACCTAGATATCTTATAAGAAAATCTATCCTCGGTTACCCGTCTCGATGATCCTCGCATACTAACCCTAAGCAACGACCTCACGAGATTTATCAAAAGGATCATTGTGAACGACAAACTGCTTCGTGCATTCCTTGGCAGCAGACGATGATAAAAAAAAGACAACAAATGAGAGGAATGGAGTACACCGATGAGCACACAATCCAAACACATCGGATAACATGATTCAGCAACACCCGTTAGATGGATTAGACTTTCCTAGAAGTTGTCCTCTGACACACTATATCCAACATTCGATTAGATGACTCAGACATACGTAGTAGTGGTCCGATTCACGAAGCTCATCCGATCATCACGAAAAGGGAAATGTTGACACATGAAGCTCATGAAAAGAAAAGGAGGGGGAATAATAATATAGTACTCCGGTACACTCCCATACCCTGACACGTGATAGTGTCGAAAAAAGACTTTGTACATAATAGTACTTTCTCACACATAATAGTACCTCGACACAAGTAGCACCTGAGAAACAGTTCTACTCTATGTTTCAATCCTACGCACACCCTAATTTAAACTATTCAATGTCCAAACGTAATTGGACTAAACATCAATTTTAAGTCTTAGGGTATAACTAACAAATTGTAATACCTAAATCATCCCAAAGTACCTGCCTATGTAATATCTTTACAATACAGGGTAAATCTATCACTCTTCCAATTTAACTCGAACTAAACATTCTTTATAAGTCTTATTTCGTCATTAGGCAAGACTATAATGCTTATAATCAACTTTCAAACTGTTTTCCTGTTTCATATCGTACTATCGCAATATAGTATAGGACTGCACTTTTATTCAACTTAACGGGATCTATAAATCCTTTATACGTCTTAGATTAAAATTCGACGAGACTATAATCCCTATAATCAAACTTTCAATACTAACTATATTCAGACAACACTGTCATAATTCAGGGTGTACATGAGTACATCTAACACAAAACATCATGTATTTAATACACATTAATCCTTTTAAGTAATAATACTCTTCCTAAGATTATCATTTAATAATACCATATAATCACTTAACACGTAATTAACCATATCTGGTTCACACAGTATATGTTATCAAATATACATTTAACATATAATTCAAATAATCAGCAATTAATTCACATATAAACTTTCAAAAGATAATAAATACTTTGTATTAAAATCATGTTCTTGAAAGTAACTATACACTCATCTAATATAGGTGGAAGACTCATGGGAAAGTCAGAGCTTTGGCTGACAGTTCAATTCCCTTTTAAAACGATCTAAACACGAATATTACTAAGCCTTAGTATTTGTTTGTATTTATAAAGTTTAATCGTTATAAGTTTTTATCAGATTTATCAATAATCCTAACCGAAACACTAACATATATCTAATAAGAAACAACCAGGTAAGATCGTATCGGAGATAGGATCAGTTTGGTATATAAAGATATACTGTCTGGAAAATCCACTTAAAACACCTCACTAATCTAGCCTTGTTATCATTCCTGTAAGTAGATCGGTCAATATAACGATTGGTATTACTGATAAATCTTATTTATAAGTTCATAATAATGATTATAAACATAAATATAAGTTATACTTAAAGCACGATAAACATAACTCAACTTACAGGATGTTTGACAAAAAACCGAACATTACGCGAGTAGAACTTCAAAAACGAAATCTCCATTTCTTGGGGCTCTCTGGCGCTCTAGAGCTTTGTTAATAGCAATTAAGAACTACTATGGTCGGGTCACGGGCCGTCGGGGACGTTTGAGAGAGACTGGGAAAGAATTGAACAAGAATTATGCAAGAAATCGCTTCAATATATAGGCAAATTTATAGGGGGCGTCGCGTCCTATGCCAAGTTTCGGTGATCTAACAGTTGGTGTGGGGAGGATGGGTGAAGTGTGATTGTGACACGTGTGACCCTCTGCTGGTACCAAGTGTCAGCCTTTGGTTGGCCCAAATTTAATTTTCTTCAAAATTTCATAAATTTTGCATACACACTCCATTTTTTATTGTCTTTATATCCACGTGTAGCTATTGACGACTACTACAACTTTAATTTAGATTTTGTCGGCAAAATTTCACTTTACTTTTTGTTTTACGGTTCAAGAAGGCTTGGAATGTAAATAACACTGTGAAAATCATAACTTCTTCATACGAGCTCCGCTTTCAACGTTCTTTATATTGTAACGTCCCAAAAATAAGACCCAAAAATTTCATTTTTAAATTAATAAAACCAGTATCCCAAAAACATTGCCATATAAATCCAGATTAAAAAATGTATCAATCATCATGACATATTAGAGTAAATCAAGAAAATGCGGAACGAGGTGGTGTGTGCCCTGCAATCATCCCGAGCTCTTCCCCTTAGAACCGGAAGTACCTGAAACATAAACTGAAAAGTGTAAGTACAAAGCTTAGTGGGTTCCCAAAAAATACCACATACCATACATAATAAACACATAATGGGCCCCGCTCGGTATACAGATCGGGCTCCACCTAGCATACATATAAACATAAATCATATAAACATATACACATGCAATAATCACAAAGATACACAGCATACAAAATGGTCATCGGGCCCCACCCGACATTGTGCCCTGCCCGGTAAGCATACAAGTACATAACACATGCAAGAGTCACGCCGAAAACTAACATACTAACATAGCATAATCATGGGCTGGCATTGGTGCCTTCGACGCGCTAAACACAGTGAGGAAACTCACCTCGAACCGCTGAATCACACGAATAAATCTCTGGCTGCTGGACCGACAAATCCCCGAGCT